TTTCCCTGTTCTGTCCCATGCTGCTCGGGGTGGAGCACAACTTCTTCCCCATCGCAGTCTCCACTCCAGCCCAGCTCTCTCTCTCTCCGCATCCCCCCTTTCCTTCACTTCCCCTTCCCTTCTTCCCTCTCTCTCTCTCTCTCTCTCTCTCTCTCTCTCTCTCTCTCTCTCTCTCTCTCTCTCCAATGTGGATTTCAGCACACTGCCCGCCACCTTCTGAAGGCTGCAGATGTCTGCCCCCCTTACAAGGCCGCTTCTTCATGGAAAGGACCAAGTTAGACTTCCTTATTGGCTCCTCCCTAATTACATCCAGAGGATGGATTTTCTAAAAGAAAAATAAAGCTGGGAATAGCCCACTGCTCTCTATTCAAGTTAGAATTAGGGGTTAAGAGCCCAGCACCCTCCAGAGAGATATCTATAAGGGAGTCTTTTTTCTTTGTTAAATGGCATTTAAACATATAAATATAATAAATATCAAAATTATAAGTCTTTGTTTTACTATGGTTGCAAATATCAAAAAATTTCTATATGTGACACGGCACCAGAGTTAAGTTAGGGTTTTTCAAAATGCTGACACGCCGAGCTCAGAAGGTTCGCCATCACTGCCCTAGCTTCTCATTAGAAGCCCCCCGCACTCAAGCTGCCGTACTGCGGGCTGTGGCAGGACCACGGAGCACTCCGTCCTGACCCTGGACATTCGGGAGAGATTGGATGAAATTCCCTAAGTGGCACGGTGAGCAGGGCAACTCCTTCAGGCTTGCTCTGCCCCCGGCTCTCGGGGCTGATTTAAATCGAGTTTTGCCTGGACCCAGGGAGAGGAGAGAGGATGGAGCCTGGGAGAACCCTCTCCATCTGAGGTTCCATTTTTACCACCATGATATATCCCCCTTTTTGGGGCCTTCAGCCCAAAGTACCTTTGGAACTCCATGTAAAGGAGAGTGATTATACTTGATCTGGTTGAGCAGAACAGGGCACACCTGTGCCCTCTCGGACAGCTTCTTTTAAGCTAGTGTGTGTGTGTGTGTGTGTGTGTGTGTGTGTGTGTGTGTGTGTGTAGGCCTGGCTAACTTGATTACAGCCACAGACCAGGCTGCCCAACTGCCCATACACATCCTTTGAAAACTGGGCACAGAGTCTCTTCTAAGTTACAGATGCCAAGGCAGCACGGCCGTCCCTGAACAAGAGAGGAAATTGAGGTCAGAAAAGAAAGGCTCCGTTTGTTGTGCTATAAATGGGCGGCCAAGGGGTGGCTGACCAAATGACCAAATGTACCGAGACCCATGGGATTGTTCTCGTGGGAACCTTGTGAAAAGCTCAGGGGAGCTTTGCCAACCTCAGCCCTGCCAGAACCTTACACTCGCCTCTGCCAACCTGCCGAGAAGGGAAGAGAGATTGCAGAGGAGACAGGCGGCACGGCTCTACCCGGATCCGCTCCTCCCGACTCGGGTCCCGATAATGTACCTTTGAGAACATTCTTCACCATTTCTCACACATTCTGTGAGACCTGATGAGCCAGAATTGTCACTGATTGAGTCCTTCAGTCCTTGAACCTCAACTGCTAAGCTGGGCTCTGTGGCAGCTCTATTGTTGTAGCCGAGGATTAGTCTGTGGGCTTTGCTGAGCGTGTCATCTCCTTCCACGCGTGGAGGTCAGGCGGGGCCGGGCCGGTGTGCAGGACGAGGGTGACGGCTGCAGGGTGGGGGTGAGCTCAGACAGGCAAGCATGCGCCCAGGGGAGTAGGAGAGAGCAGGAGTCCAGGGGAACCTGCCTCTTTTGCTCACCCTCCCCTCTACCCCCTGCAATGGACCCACCTGGGCAGAATAGGAAAGCTGCTCTGCGAAATACTGAGGCCCCTGCGAGTTCCCTTAAAATCCTGGTCGGAGGCAAGATTGTCATCCTCTTTAAAAATCTCTGAGAAAGAATCACTTCCTTGTGCTGAGTCAGAGCCTAGACCTGCGGGTAAAAAGCCCCACTGAGGAGCAAGCAGCGTGGAGAGAACAGGCTCAGGCCAACCAGTGCTCCCCCGGGAGGCGATCTGGGGGGACGCGTTCCCTCTTTATTAGATTATTTACAGGAAAACTCTGTCCGCAGCAGCCATGCTCCCTCCAGTGTGTGTGTGGTCTCTCCTCCGGGCCCCCTGGTCTGGAAGCGGCAGTGGGATTGGGACACACATGAGGGAGCGGGGCCTGCACTTGCCAGCCCCGCCGTGTCCCCGCACAGCCTGACAGGTGGCTGGACGGCTGCATGTTCCGTCCCCCATAGCTTCAGCCCCACTGGGAGCCCTACTCACGGGGAACTAGCCAGTTCCATGAAGACTCAGGCTCAGCAGCTCAGCCAAGGGCGATGCAGACCTTCTCGCGGGGCAGGAAGCAGGGCCCGGGCAGGCTAGGTGGCTTTGATCAGCCAGAGGGCTCAGGGCCCCGCTCCACTCCCGGAAGCCCACAGTGGCCCCGGGGGCACCCTGAGCCTCCCGCCTGACCCTTGCCTCTTAATGATGTTGCTCTCTCCCCGGTCCTCTTGCTGTCCCCCCACAGGGTGCGGGCTGCACCGCCCTGGTGGTGGCCGTGGTGGCCCGGAAGCTGGAGCTCACCAAAGCGGAGAAGCACGTGCACAACTTCATGATGGACACTCAGCTCACCAAGCGGGTAAGACGCCGCTGCTCGCGCCCCGTGGAAGCCGATCGAAGGGCAGCAGTCAGTTACACGGTGTAGACGGGGTGACTCCTTGCAGGGGAGGCTAGAGGGAGCCCCAGGCCCCCGCGAACAGCCTCCACAACAGGGGCGAGTCTTCTGTTAAATGGCTGCGCACGGCGCCGGCAACCGAAGCGCTTTCCCGATAGTTAAATCCGAAGCACATGGGGTGCAGCCTGCTCCCTTGCCTCGTGGTAATTGAATAAATCACCCAGCATGAGGCAGCGGTTGTGTTTATGCTCAAATATTTTCATGAGCCTCATTAGGAAGGGCAGTCGAGAGTCTTAAACACGCAATGGGAACTGTGTCTAAATCCAATCCTTTCAAAAATGTCATTAGAGAGGATCATGGCTGTAGAGCTCCCGTTCCCAGACAATGTCAGTATCCGGCTCTCCCTTCTGGGTTGTAACTGGCTGCCGCCTCTCACTTGTACCCTGTGCGAATGGTTCCGAAGGATGAACACTGGAAGTGTGCAGGAAGGGGGAGCGCGCTGGGCCCGACACCCCACTGCATTGTCAGGGAAGAAAAGGCCCCTCAGAAGAGACAGAAGCAGGCAGGCGGGAGCCGTGCGTGTCCCGACAGCGCTGGTGGGACATTCTGTAGAGCTGCAGGCGGAACGAAGGAGTCCCTGCGCAACCTCCTCTTTCTGAGATGAGCGAGAATCCAAACCCTGAGCGGGGCCTTGGCCGCCATAGCGAGGGCTTCTCATTTAGGACCGAAGTGGGTTAGAAGGCCCAACCAAATTTTGATTTTTTTTAAATATAATAATTTTATTAATTTCAGAAAGGAAGGAAGAGGGAGAGGGAGATAGAAACATCAATGATGAGAGAGAATCATTGATCGGCTGCCTCCTGCAGGCCCCACCCTGGGGATCAGGACTGTAACCCGGGCAAGGGCCCTGACCGGGAATTGAACTGCGTGACCTCCTGGTTCCTAGGTTGACCCTCAACCCCTGAGGTCTTAAAAATACAAGATAAAAGTAAAGGAAGCTAGTGAATTTAAGAGTATCAGAAAATGCTTTAAGCCAATAGCATTTAGACACAGAGACTTGTATTTGATTTTAAAGGATGCATATATTGATACAGTTTTATACGCTATTGATTGAAATAAAAACACATTATCAAGACACAATGTAATGTTTTTGTTTTTAATGTATTTTTTATTGATTTTAGAGAAGAGAGGGAGAGAGAGAGAAACATCAATGATGAGAGAGAATCATTGATCAGGTGCCTCCTGCACGCCCCCTACTGGGGATGGAGCCCGCAACCCAGGCATGTGCCCTGACCAGGAATCACTCCGTGACCTCCTGGTTCATAGTTCAATGCTCAACCACTGAGCCACGCCGGCCCAGCACAGCGATTTCGTTACACATCATTTTGTCGCATTTCTAAGAACCTGTCGACAACGTTAAGTGGGGAGGTACTGCGTATGGTACAGGGTGGGCCTGAGCTGTCCATTGCACAAAAGAAAACGTAATTCATGACATCAAGATGGCAGGATTGCACCCAGGGGTGGGCCCTTCGGGTTTCACCCACAACCCCGGGACCCGGCCCTCTCGTTCAGTCCCGTGACTGTAACGCGAGCAGGAGCTGTGCCCGGCACCGAGCAGGTCACAGAGGAGCTCGGGGCACCGCTGTGCAAATGCACTTGCATCTATTTCCCTGAAACAGTTCCGTGCAGGAGTCACTGCCAACGAGTTTGGCCTCGAAAACCTCCTCCGAAGCTGGGACATGGGCAGTCTCTCTGCTCTGGTCTGCTTTCTGCAACCAAGGGGATGCGCTGTGTTCCATGTCACTCCTTCGTCCTCCGTTTTCCACTCCGTCTACCAGACTCCGGGGGAAAATAAAACCGAGGAAAGCCAGCTCCCTCCCCTGACAGGAAAGTAAACAATTTTCCTGCAGCACAATTGCCCAGGAGATGAGATTGTGGTGGCTCATGTCAATCTTTCAGAAACAATTCTCTACCATCCTCCTCAAGCCAGTCCACTTTCTCCTGGAAAAGTAGGCCTGAGAATCAAATCAGCAAATGTTTATTGCTCGTTCGTGAGTGCAAGGCACCGTTGGAATCGCATAACGTCTCACTTCTCTCAAAACTCTCCGTCTGTTGAGATGTCCCTTTGATGTCAAGTATCTTTTTCCCAGAGAGCCAAACAACACAGAAGCCCTGGTTCTGACAGGGAGGTATTTCCAAAGCTGGAGGGACCCGGACTCCCAAAGGTTCTGGGACAACCTTGAGTGCGGAGACTGGCTGCAAGCTTGGCCCGCTCAGGGAGGCCCACCTTCCTCTCCCTGGGGTCGCCCCGTCCGTCCTCTGTCCCCTCCAAAAGGCCCAGCGTGTCCAGCCGGAGTGGCTCATGGGTCATAGCGATGCTAGGCTCAGTCTCTTCAGAGAAATGATCTCAAAGGAACCCCCAGTTGTGGGAGAAACCAGCTCTGACTCTCAGGAGGGGACAATGCAATTTCACAGTTAAAAGCAACCTTTGACCTCTTGCAAGTGCGTGCAACCTTCATTCCTCAAACACCTAAGCTAAAAACAAAAAACAAAAAGAGAACTGTAACCTATTAATCACAAAAACACTCGTTCCAGCGTTTGATCTCCCTGCCTTTGCCAGTTGAGTCACACAATTTTTACGTGTTCATTGGTGGGGAGTAAGAAGTCGGTTGCTGGTTCTCCCACATCCCACGGCTCTTCTTCTCCCGTTTGTATAACTTGTCACCCTGACGCGGCATCCTGTCTGTGTCTGTGCCCTCTGGCCTTCTCGCACTGACTTTGCAGGTTACCGCCGTTGTTGTTCTGTAATTCTAATGTATTGCTCACCGCTAGGCCGTTCGATAACATGTATGTCAATGACACACAGAGAGACTGCCAAAAAGATGCCAGCTCCCCATCTTTTCTCCCACTCGACGTCCAGGTCCCTGTCTCTCTGTGGTAGGTAACTAAACACATCCACCACAGGGTCGCCTGCTGGACGCCATTCTTTGTGTTCTGGGGAGGGGGCTGGTCCCTGCCCTCATCCTTCCTGCCTGCCCTCACAGAGCACCTCTCCTTTCTAAGGCAAGACACGCTGCCCAGGGACACACCTGGCTTAAGAGGCACCATGGACAGGAGCCGTTCTGTTGGCCACGCCTACTCTTCATGTCTCCGGCATGTCCACCACCTGAGGATTCTGTCTCTTTATCCTTGCCACAGGGGTTCTCGCTCCAAATACTTCATCCAAGTTCCTTTCCCCCATGAAGCCATACCCACATCTTCCCTAATTAGTTCCTTCTCCTGACTTCCCTGGCCAGCTAATGACGTCACTGTTCCCCACGCCTGAAAAACTGGTGCCATCTGGACCCACAGGGCTGCGAGCAGTTTCTGAGCCCGAGTTGACCTTGCCATGGCCCCGGCTGCTCATGCCCGCCGCCCTCTCCATGGCCTTCTGCCCCGCCATGCCTAACGCCACCATCACCTCGGTCTTGCACCATCACCGCTCTAACCCAGTCATCCTCCCCGTGGGTCTCCTTAGCCGCTAAGACTTAGCTCTGAACCCATTAGCACCTGCTCAGAAACCTTCCGTAATCCCTGTATACCTACTGAACAGTGCGAAAGAAAACTTCTAATTCTGAGCATATGTCAAAGTGTTATCACAATCCTGCTGGGAAGAGCAGATTTTTTTTTTCTCAGCAGACTGATTCAAAGATTTATTCATGGTCAGGACTATTATAGGAAAAGACAAGTCGTCAGTGTTGTACCCGGTACAGAAAGTCTGGTGAAGGGACACTAGATTGGTGGCTGACAGCTGGTTGGTCCCAAGAGTGGATTCCCATAACAGGTCTTAATCTCTTTAGAATGTATCAGAGAATCGATGGAGCAGTTGTCGGGAATGCTGATTCTCCCCAGAAGGGGACTGTAAGTTCTATTACCCACAAGGGTTCTGCCCCAGACAAGGGGGGGGACAGTAGACATAGAAACAGCGTTTGAGCTGGGAGCATCCTTAGGAATGTGGCTGTCCGGCCCAGTGAGGGCCCGGCCGTCACACCTAGCCGGGTCCTAGCGGGGCTGCAGTTTGTTCTCAGGCTGCGGGCAGCTCTCCAGCCATCACCCAGTGGATTTCCCAGAGCAGTCAGTTCCCTGGAACTCAGCCTGGTGGTTAGGGTTCCGGGGCTGCTGGAGAGAAAAGCCGGGTTACCTCCAAACTCACTGAGCGTCACGTGAATAGCATTATAGAAATTGCCACCATTCATTACCGTGCTGCTATGGGGAAGAACTTCAGACTCCAACTTTGAACCGCAGAAATACATCTCTTCCCACTCCTGCCCCCATCTCCTGCCAGCCACGGGGGTGGAGCCCCAGTTCGGGCTGCTTCCAGGTGAGATGGGCAGGGAGGCCTGAGAAGGGATGGGGAAGGAAGGAGAGAGGGAAGAGTAAGGAGGTGAAAGAGATGGCAGCTGCAGGAAGTCAGGGTGGCTGAGGGGGAAGGGGGAGGAGTTGGCAGAGGGGGAAGAGGGGCGGGCCTTGCTCCCCAGCCAAGTTTCCAATGGAACTGGCTCTAGGTTCTCAGATTGTGATGTTCGTCCGCCCTTAGTTCATCTAAATGCGACTTGAGTACTTCTTAAAGTTAAGGCACACTCACCTCGCGGGCTGATCTTCACACTGCCCTTCCTCTTCTCCAGCCTCCTGCC